CTACTAGTAAGGCACTTGTCTCTACTAGCGTGGCACTTGTTTCTACTGGTAGTAGCTTCTTGTTACTAGGACTGGAGATGGACGGATCCCTGGAGTAAAAGGAAACCCCTCCCTGAGAACACGCCGATGTCGCTGATAGGTCGATCTTCTTGGACATGTTCTGAACTGCTCGGCCCTAGTAGCAGTCCTGCGTCCTCCGAACTACCCGGACTCGATCCATGGTAGACTTCGCTCCCCCAAGCTCATGCGCTCCTATTATGAAGTCGCGTTTCCGAGGCGCCCCCCCCGATGTCCGAAAACGCAGCAACAGCATCTCAATTCTCAGGTTGCATCCTTGGCACGTAGGAGCCGCGCTTCATGGACCCTGCTTGCTGATAACTCAGCGAAGCCAACTTTTCGACCTGCTCAAAGTTGAAGTCCATCTCCACAGCCATGGCCAACGCTGGGGGGCCAAGTGGCACTTCGGATGGAGCGAGCAGATCGAAGGCAAATCGAAGTGGAAACACCGAGGCCGCTGGGATCTGCTGGGCCAAAAATGGCTCGGCGGACGATCCTAGATGAGTTTGATGTCATCTGATTCCTCTATACAAGGGTCTGAAGACCTAATTATATAGAATCAATTAGAATCACGCGCTTGATTGAAACGTCAAATGGAACTACTCCGAACAGAACTAAGAGTTTCACATTCTGGTCCATCTGGCCAATCCTTGCCACATTGGCAGTCACGCCCCCCGTTTTTCAACCAGCCACGACGACTTTCACGCGAAAAGAACGAAACAAAGCGCCGGCGTTTTCGCCGTCGGGTTCACCTCGTTCTCAACGGCAGGATCTTCTGGGGTCCCTGGCCTCCGCCCCTTCTCGCAAACGCACGTGGGGCCTGCGATGGGGGTCGTCGCCCCGCGGCCTGCCATCCGGAAACGCCCGCATCCGGAGGGAAAACAACAGCTGGGCTCAAGGAAAGGAAGAAAAGGATCAGTTTTTGCTCATTTTGCTCATCCTGTACATCTTAAATCCTTCTTTTCACCACTAGTCAAGGCCATGGTCACCCCTCACCCATCACGCGCACAATTGCATGCACTTGCACCAAAACAAATACCACATCGCAGGGGTCCATCCAGCACCTCTCGCCTGTACCCTGTGCCGGGCGTCCACAGGCGCCGCACTTGGCCCAGCGGAGTGCGCCATCGCATGGGTCCCACGGCGTCCGGATGCGTCCGGTGCGTGCGAAGATCTGCCGTTTGGGTGGTCAAGGATCGACGTTCGGTGGGAGTTTTTCATGCAGCGCTGAACCGCGGGCAAGGTCGCCATCCCAAGGTTTTTGATTAAGGACAGACGTGGAGTTTCTTGTCCACATTGGAGGTGAGGGGTCTTTGATATTCCGGCTGGGCTCCAATAGTCACTTGTTCATCGCCCTGGTTGATTCAAAAAGCATCATTGTTATGGCTAACTAGCACATAACCAGCGCCCTTTTCTTGGCGGGATTGCTGGCATGATCGAAGCCATCATACAGAGGGTATAAGTTCTTCTCCGTTCAGAAGACCCAAGCCGAAGCAGCTGCAAATATGGATTCATCGAAGGTGTTGACCCACTCCAAAGCCCAACACATGGCCAACAAAGGCCCAAGCGTTCTCACTGATTGGGGTTTCTGATCTCCAATCAAATTCTCCTTCCCCCACGACCAAATCTCACTTCTTCTTGAGGCTGAATGGTGGCAGGTCCAGACTCTTCTATAAATCGACCCCCAGCCCCCCCAAAATGCTGAAACTGGCGGTGTGGGCCACCAGTTTCAGAACAAAAAGATCGCATTCTATAGAGCTCCGCATCCGTGCTTTTGATTCGGCCCAGAAGAGCCCAGAACCCACCTGGCTCGGGTAGCCACGCGGCTGCACTGCAGGCACTGCTCAGCACTGTGGCGCCCCGCAGCTCCGGACAACGCTCCCGGAGCTCCTTGGGGCGCAATGGGGGACCAAGGTCTCAATAGAGTGACGTTGATGTGAATCTGCATGGAAAAAGGCGATGGAATTGGCCAATGGCCATTGGATGTGGCTACTAGTAACAAGGGCATCGCTACTAGTAACAAGTGCCTTACTAGTAGTAACAAGAAGCTAGTAGAAACAATAAGTAAATAGACTTTAATTAGAATTAAGTGTGGTCTGCAGCCAGGTTGGGTCGCTGGCTCCAACTCCGACCGGAGAACGACCCGACGGTCCGCCCGATGTGGGTCCTCGGCCACGGGCATTAACTCCTCCTTGAGCTCGGTGCGCACCAAGCTCGACAACAGCACCACGAGGTCTTGAGCCTTGGGGGATGAGGCTTTGGACAAGTGCGATGGCGATGGCATAGGGAGGCCTTTCCAGTGCTTTTCCAGTGCAGTGATGGCATAGGAATGGCATTGCGATGCAAAGATCTGCTTCGACATGAGGCGTGGCTAGACGCAAGAAAACGGCTAGGTCTTGGCTGATCAGCATCCAACATCACCATTTCAACCTGCAGTTTTCCACCAATTCGCCCAGTAGCATCAAAATAGGCGAGCCGGGTCAGCGCCTGTCGCAACAGAAGTGCGCCCAAGTCCGCATCCTCATAGCGCCTAGGCGGGGCGGCGCGTGCGCGTGCTGTGATGGCACCGAGTCACCGAAACTGCAAGGGATCCGAAGTCATTTCGTGAAGGATCCGAGTCACATGAAACAACATACATACGAACCCGTGACCCATTTCATGGAATTAGTGGTATATATGGGAAGAGTGACAGAAAGCGAGTGAGCACCACTCAGTCATAACTGGCTGTTTACTACCAAAGCTTGTGGGCTGTGCTGCTCGCCACGGCACTGCCGGCTGAAGGCTTTCAGGACCTGGGCGGTGACATGGCACAACAGTGAGCCAAGTGAACCAACCAGGACCAATCAGCCATGACAACCATGAGCTTAAAAGCCTTCCCAACCTCCATCCACCTCCCTACCTTTCTTCCACAAACAGACCCGACCTACCAGTCCCCCACCTATCACCTTCAGCTTGTAGCCAATCCCATCCTCCCTCCCGATCACCGGCATGTTCACCAGTGCCTTCGTCAGATCCCTTGGCGCCAGCTCAAGGACCAGCTCACGCGCACGGTGCGCCAAGCCCGGCAGCAAGATCACGGCACCTGAAGGGCCGGTTCCGGAGCTGCTGCGCTTCCGCGGCAGCTCACCCCGCTGCGGTGCCCAAGGAGGTCTTTGATTGAGTCGTTTCAGCGAAGCACATCGATCGTTCGGCAAGGTTGCGATCGTTCGAGTCATCTCAGAATTGTTCAGATGATTTGGCACAAGCCTTCCAGGTGGATTGGCCCCCTTTTTGTTCCCCACTCTCCGTGGACAAAGAAGCTTTGATGTGATTTTTTTATATATAAAGCTTTATGTTTAGACCTTGGACGACATTCCCCAACACCGCCCACGCCCCCGCCGTCTCCGCGGGCGACGGCGTTGCACGCACGCCCCAGCTGCGCAGCATCCATGATCTCGGCCGGCGGCAGCGCCATGGTGGGCAAGGCTGGGCCCTTCGTTGACGGCCATCGGAAGAACCGAGAGAGACGGGAGGGACGGAAGGGACGACCCAGTGGAGCAAGAAAGCCTTTTGAAAAAGAGCTCGGATACCGGTCACACATGCACGACCCAGTTCAAAATTGGTTCGTGATGCATCATGATCCAAAACTCGATGGATTCTAGCCTTGGGCTGTAGGGCTGTAATGCCGTCAAGGTTCATTCATTCACACCAAAGAGTTCAAAGAACGCACCACTGACCCAAGCCGTCCAATGTCCATGTTTCAACATGTTTCAACACCTCTCTCCATATTTCACGGTGTATTCTTGAAGGTGTCCAATGATCGCTGACGATGCGTGAAGCTCTCTCCAAATCCTCACCTCCGGACACGCAAAATACAACGCCTCAACAGGTCACTCCGGATCATCGCGTCAGTTTCGTCTATTCTGTTCATGCTCGGTGTTCTGGCCCTGGGTGGGTGTCCCGGGTGCTGTGGGGGGCCCACTCTTCGCAGCTGCGCCACCAAAAGAATGGCATCCGGCTCGCGCAGCTTCGGCGCCCGCCGCAGCTTCGGCGGCGGCAGCATCACCTGGGAGGTGGGCGGTGGTGGGGGCCTTCGGGGCTGATTCTTAGAAGCAGGGGACTGGGTTTGGAAAAGGGTCTAGGGTCTAGCCGGTCTAGCTGGCAGATCAAAAACCTGGAGCACGGCCAGTGAATCCAGCGAGCTGTAGTCAATCCGTCCCGTTCGTTCTTCATTTGGAGCCACGAAAATCTCCATGCCGAGAGGCCAAATCCGGGTTGCGGCCTTCCCTGCGTGCCTGGAAGAAACATATGGGGAAAGGATGGGAAAGGTGTCAATTCCATCTGTTTCATCTGTCCGTTTGTGGCCTTGAAGGCCTTTCAAAGCAAAAGATGTTCGCTCTACCAACTTCAATCTCTTTGTATATGGTCACTGTATGTTTGGCATAGCTGCATATATAACTGCATAGCTGAATGAACGGCTTGGGGTTGAGGATTGAGACGCCTTCCACGTGGTCTCAGATCGTCCGCCATGGACCCTTTGGTCCCCTTAGGGGCTCGTCACAAGCTCCATCACCGGTGCATGGCTGCAAAAACCCGCCTGTGCGCGGAGCTTCTGAAGCTCATTCTTCTCGCGCTTGTTGAGGGCCTATGCTGCTCCCAATGGGCCCACACATCCACAAAGGCATCAAGCTGGAGGCCATTGCGTGGAGGCCACTTGATCTACTCAGATCGATCCAGGGACCCATTCATCCCACAGCTTCTGCACCTGCCAGCTAGTAGCTAGCAGCTAGCAGGCATGTGGAGAACTTGGGGGCATCATATGCGGCCCATCTGATGCACACCGAGTCCTTAGTTAATTCATGGTTAATCCCCATTCAAGGCCCCAAATCATCCGTGATGCCCACCATGGTCCGCACCATGCCCCCCCCTTCGCCTCACCCCCAGGCGGGCCATGCTTCTGGTAGCCGCCCTGCACCGGCGCCCGCTCCGACAGGCCAGTGATGACCCACCTGACTCGGACTGCGAGCGTCGTCGCAGCCGAAAACGGCGACGGTTTGGAGACAGGGCGACGCGGCGGTGCCCACGCAACAGCCGTGGTTTTGTCCCTGAAAAAGGATCCACTTCACGTGTCTGCAGCACGGTGGAATTCAACAAACTTGTTCCCGACCAGCTGATTCTTCATCGAGGGGCTGTTGCACTTTCCTCCTTGGCTTCGGGATGCGTGACATGCCATGGGAACAGCTGCTGCCAAAGTGAGTAGGTCTCCTTCAAGAATCCGGTTGCTACTTGCATTTGTCACACGCTCCAAGTACCTCTCTTGCATCATGTTGCATCTCTGGACCTGGCTCTCCTCCCTGCCAAATACGCCAGAACCACCGCCTACACATGGCCTGTCGCAAACCAAAAAGCGCCTAGACTCAGCCAAAATACCGCTTAGTCTGTTTACAAAGCGTCTGTTTACCTCACTTCATGCCCTCCTTCGTTTTAACAATTGAGCCATGGCTGCCGGGCTGCTCACACATGAAAGGTAACAAAACAATGCGCACCGGGTTCCGCACCCGCCAAAAGACTGACCTAATCAAGTAGGGCCCAGGGGCCAACCTAAGGTCACAAAACCCCAACCTCGGATCTCAATCTCCGGCCGTCTCGGGGCATTTTCCACCTCGCTCGGAACTTGAAACCAATGATTCAATGGAACTGCCTGGCCCGGCCAGGCTGCACTCGAAACGATCGAGCAGAGTCTGTCCCAGAATCCTCTTGAGCTTGACTTGACCCTTTTCGGCCAACCGGCCTAGCCATTGAAATTCACTTGAGTCTCTAATTCTTGCTTGATCGGAATGGAATGTGATAGTCTGTTGTTCAAGAGGAGGACGTGTTGAGATATTTTACACGGAAGCTAGGCCGCCACCTTGTCGATAATCACCGGCATCTTCCCTTTCCATTGCGCCCACAGGTCGGGCTTCCTCATCTGCTCAGCTGCGAGCTGGTTTGCATGCTTCCCACAAGGCCACAACCCCATTCCCAGGCATCGTTCCGTACTAGTTATAGTTTTTTTATACAATGGTCTATCTTCGATGCACATTGATCCCAGAGATTAGGATTGGAATCCATCGGGTCTGTTGAAACTAGGGTTGAAACCTGTTGAAAGGAATTGAAAGACCACACGCAGTGTCAGATGTACAAGCTCAAACCTGTTGTCATCCAAGTCCTAAGGAAGGATTCAAAACAAGTCGTCAAGGCCATGAATCTCTTGCCACCGACCTGGGTTCCCCCCCCGTCAACCATGGCCGAATATGATGAACATAGACATAAACCAATGCAACCTTGTTTGGGGCATGTTCCACTCAAATTCTCCTCTTCATCCTCCCAACTTCCAAACCAACCAACCAACCAACCAACCAACCAACCAACCAACCAACCAGCCAACCAGCCAACCAGCCAACCAGCCAACCAGCCAACCAGCCAACCAGCCAACCAGCCAACCA